GGTTAACCTGTACAAGTATTCTGAATAACTAGGACAGTTGTTTTTAGGAAGAAAATAGAAAAAGATGTATTGTAACTAATAAACAAACTAACATGACTCTTACTTTATAAACGAAATTACTTCTTATGGTGTTCTGTAAGAGTTATTCATAAACTTCAGAAGGGATTTTGTGCATATTATATTAATTTCAATAGTTGAGATCATGAGTAAATTGAAGCTAGACCAACATGGAAAACCTGGAAGTACTGGGTAGTCATTTCGTCTTACAATGGAACTCATCAGAAATGCGCATCCACGATTACGCCCGCCCATGAGATTCAAATCCAGGATTTATCGGTCTCGCGTGTGAACGTTTAACCTTTACACCACTGAGCCGGTCAACATCGAATTTTAATAATGTCTAACTTCAACTAATCCACGAAATTGAGAAACACATCCGCTATTGTCTTCAATAAGTTACTATCACGCAACAAACCCGGTTAAAGTTCACTGATCAATGTTTCTTACTAGAAATCCAGGAAATACCTCTTGAAGACAGTCACTAATGAGTATATATTTAATTATTATCAAAATATCATAATCTTGTCAACAGTCTTAGACTGATAGTGTTGGTTTACTTGTATCTTCCAATTGTTATTTAGAACTGCAATTGATCAGTTTTGGTGTTGGTAAATAGGACGAGAAGCGTATCCTAGATTCCACTACTAACCACTATCCATCTTTACTTAAAAAGAACTACATTCGTGTTTCATATCATTCATATTACAATGAGATAAAGTATTTTTTTTTGTAAATATTTGCCAAAAAAGATGATGAATTATGTAAAGAATAACATAAATCATAATTGAAATGTTTACTGTTAGTGACATAGAAAAAAAAACCTCTTGTCAATCAATTAAGTAATCATCACTACTGGTTAGAATCTATTACGATTATGTAGTGGTACTATCATATAAACTATTCACAAATAGTTTTTGTAAACAGGTATGTTATTATTATTATTATTATTATTATCAGAATGGGTTTTATGGATCTCTCACACTCGATTGTAATCCAAGACTTTCGGTCTAGCTTGCGTACGCTTAACCTTTAAACCATTGAGCTGATATCTAATGGTGTTAATATCTACTTTCAACCAATCTACGATATTGCTCGACCATCTTCCATTGTCTGAGGCAGATACTTGTCTCTACTTGACACAGATGAGCTCTACTGGTCACAACTTCTCTCTAAAACTCTAAGAATTCCTTCATGAAGCTATTCACCAGTGAGAAGATGGTAATTATTAGTATCAGGTTGTGGAAATTGTTAAGTTTTTGATTGAGATCATGAATTATTCGATGTTTATCTCTTTAGGAAAGCCGATGAAAGTAGATCTTATAATTCTTCATCATTACAAATATTTGAATTAAATGGTTGGGCCACGTGCTGCGTATGCCTGAACATCGATTACCACGACGCGCAATGCTAACCGGTGTTAGGGATGACTGGAAGAAAGTTAGGGGCGGCCAAACCAAAACGTGGCATTAGTGCTTGAAGTCACTAACTTCTGGTCTGAGCCATGTTGGTAGATGCAGACTACCTGGTTGGGGTCCGCGTGACTATCGTAACCAATAGTTGGAGACTCTTGGTGACATGGCTCAGAATCGATCACAATGGCGTCGGTGTATACACTCTCTGTCTTCCTCTAAATTAAGAGATTAAAATCACTTCAAATCTTTCTTTCTAGGAACTAATTATTTCTTCCAGTACTATCTTTTTATACACACTCTTTCTTCTATATATTACCACCACTGAATTAACTACTTCTATGAATCCGGTGTTCATCTTGTTGTGCTAATGCGGTATGACAACTTGGACCGATGCATATACGTGCCTGGTCCTACGTTGCAGCTGACTGACTGACTGACTGAACGTGTTTAGGGTTTATAATTATAATTATCCATTTATACATACTTTCAAATGGGAATATTGTCTACTTTTCAAACTGTTACAACTATGTAGTATGGGTTAATTCCTTCCATTGGTCATGTAAGAATCTTCAATAACGAACATAAACTACAACGAATCAAGATTGAAATAATATTTTATAGGTTTCACAAAGAGATCATACTTCCAAATCATACAGTCGGAGCACATGTGTATATGTTCTTCTACTTTTATTGTAATATAACATGAAGATTATCACATCATTTTTGATGAAACTTTAATGCTTACAATCATGGTTTATTCATAACATTTTATGTTGAATATATATCCACTGTTTATCAATACAATGAAAGACCTTATGATTCATAAAACATGTGTTTATAGCATTTTCAAGGTATATTAAAATGTTGACATTAAGTGTTTGCATACGTTAACAATGCCAAGGCATAATAGAGAACCTTATCAGTGTACTTTAAACGTACCACTGTAGTTTATTTTAAATAATACAATTCCAAGGTTACTGTTACATTGAATACATACCGTAATTCGATGGAAAGTTGATTGGTGTACCAAAACTCATAAACACAAAGAATGTTGGATGATACTCCTATGTAAAACATCTTAGAAGATTAACTAGTAAACTCACATCAATCATTCTTATATCAACCAAAGTATGAAGTGATAAAGAGAAGGAAAGTCCAATATTATCTACAAAATGAACTATTCTAATTAAGAAAAAGACTATATCGAACAATGTGGACGCCTCCTTCATCTTCGCTTGCATGAAAATCAACTAGCTATGGAACGCCACAATATATCTTTGCTTATGTCAATGCATGTAGGCAATTGTAAACACATATTTTAATTGGGAAAATGCTAAGATTCTGGATAGAAAGAACACTAAGAATGACAGAAAATTTTCGGGAGCTTGACGCTCATCTCAATCAGTAATCAATATACATTTAGAAATTGATCCAATTCATTAAACAACTAGAAAAATAAAAGACAGTTAAATAGCACCAAGAATCACATCAAAGGGAGATACAATCAATGATACTTGGGACCAATTGGAGAGCAGAACCCAGAAAAGTGTTAGTTCTAGATTTCTGGTCAATTGCCTATGTTCTAAAGGGATAACAAACGTATCTAGGTAAGTATGTTGTGTATGCTACTTCTATCAACAGACATAAGTAGTATGTAACACCGATTAGAAGTGGAAAACCTGGCAGTGGAAGTCCAAGAAGCTCAAGTTAAAGAGAATAGAAGTGAAACTAGAAAAAAGATTGTGAATTGAAAGAGTCAAAAAGAATGTGAACGATAAATGATGTAAATATGCTAATGAAATAATTGGTATATGATTGTCTTATTTTGCAAAGATATTCTGTAGTTTTAACGTTTAAAATACATCTGGTAATCCCTCACATATGTTCTCCTTCACAACAAACATTATCGTTGGTTTCCAATAATTTCCTAGGCTAATGTCATTTTATAATTACATTTCGTTTTAATATAGATTTTGATTTACATTTACAACGTAATGTGGAAATGAGGCTGTTATACATTCTACTCGTTTTAAATATGCTTTAATGATATCACAGGCGCGGATTGGAAAAACAAGAGCATCATATTTACAACTGAAGACCATCTGGAACTCAAAATAACTGTCAACCAACACCAAGGTTAGGATTTTCAATACAAATGTCAAAACAGTTCTAGTGTATGGGGCGGGAGCTTGGAGAACTATGAAAGCCATCATCCAAAAGATACAAGTGTTTATTAACAGTTGTCTACGCAAAATACTTCAGATCCGCTGGCCGGACAATATTAGCAACAACCCACTATGGGAGAGAATAAACCAAATCCCAGTGTAGGAAGAAATCAGGAAGAAGCGCTGGAAGTTGATAGGACACACATTGAGGAGAGCACGCAAATGCGTCATAAGGTAAGCCCTCACATGGAATCCTCAAGGCCGAAGGAAAAGAGGAAGACTAAAGAACACATTACCCCGGGAAATGGGGATGGACATGAGAAAAATGAACAAGAATTGGATGGAACTAGAAAAGAAGGCCCAGCACAGAGTGGGTTGGAGAATGCTGGTCGGCGGCCTATGCTCCATTAAGAGTAACAGGCGTAAGTAAGTTGATGAAATCACATGAGCTTCCGATTTCGGTTCATGCTTCTAAGCGTTAGAATTACTGAATAGGTGTTCAATGCTACAATGACAATGTGAAGGATTTAAAAAATGTAGTACAACAAACATTTGATGTTACTTCTAATGACTGTTTCCTTCCAATATGTGTCAAAAATCTATTATTTATTAATTTTCTTTAAAACAATAGTAAGCTACTAAAATGTTGAGTATTATTGTTTAGTCGAAGTGTTTAGACTATTGAGAAGCTCTATACTGTGACGAAACACCAGTTCAATATTCTTTTGGTTTCCAGTGGTATCTTCAGAACGAATAGTCTGTGTTAAATACAATCTATAAATCAAACCATTGCAAGCTAACTGTTAGAATTAATCACTAAATTTATTCGTATCAGAAGGGATTTTGTGAAGATTTTAATAAATTTAATAGTTGAATTCGCGAGTCAATGTAAGCTAGATTACCATTGCGAACCTAGAACAAGTGGATGATTGTTTCGTTCTCGTATGACTCCTCAGGAGTGCGCATCTACGATCCTACAAACGCGATTCGAACCCATGGCCTTCGGTTTAGCGCGAGGAGACTTAACCTCTAGACCACTGAACCGGTCGGCATCCAATTGTGTTAATGTATAACTTCAACTAATTCACAAAATTGATTGACACACCTATCATTGTCTTCAATGAGCTACTATCTCATATAACAGACCCAATTGAACTTCACTTGTCACTACTTGTCACTAGAACTCCAGGATATACCTCTTGAATTCAGTCATATTAATTTTATACAAGTAATCTGACTTCACTAAAAAAAACCGGTTTTCTTCTTTCAAATTCCCAAATTCTTTGATGGTCTATATGGTATCCATCATTAACTGATTTAATTAAATAAATATTATTATTCATATATAAATAAAATGTACACACAATAATCAGATAAATTATGCATTCAAATAATAATATCATTCAACATATATATATTCATATTCATATTTAAAGCGTCAACAAAATTATACATCTTCTCAATAAAGCGTTTTCAATTAAACTATTTTTCTAAACTTATAATTACAAGTAACATAGGAAGAAAAACAGGACGTAAAAAAGCAAACAAAGGATAGAGAGAGATAGAGCGCGCACGCGCTCAGAGATGCAAACGAGGGATAGAGAAAAAAGAACGCATATAGAAGGGTAAGCGAAGGATAACCAGAGAGAGACAAAGAGATAGTAACGCGAAACGGGTAGACATGGGATAGAGAAAGTGCACGCATGTAGAAGGGTAGGGGAAAAATAATGAGAGAAACAGTGAGAGATAGTAATGTGGAACGGGTAGACATGGGATAGAGAAAGAGAGCGCATGAGGAAGTGTAGCGGAAGGATAACCAAAGAGAGAGAGAGAGAGAAGGAAAGATAGTAGTGTCTTCTTTTCACCGGTAGTGAAAATTCTGATTAAACTATTCTATATTCATATCACATATATCGAATTGTATAAATTCATTCAAGAAACCAATAATGATAGAATCACTATCATTATAATCATGATATTCATTAATTCTCATTAATAATAATAATAATAATAATAATATTTAGAATGAATTAAATGATTTATTGAAATGAGCTGTTTTCCATAATAAATGTATTAATGTTTTAGGTAATATAAATTCAAATAATTTATTATTCTTATTTATATGTTGTTCTAAATCATTTGGATTTAATGATGATTTAGCTAATTTATATATATAGAATGCTAATTATTGAAAAAAAAAACAAAAAGAAAGAAAAACAAAAAGAACAAAAACATAAACATAAACAAAAACAAAACAAAAAAAATAACGATAAACATGAGATTAAAAAAAAAGTAATAATAATAATCAACATATGCTCATTGGTGATTGACTTCAAGATGTATATCCTTGAGTTCTAGTGAGAAGCAGTGAACAGTACAGTTCATCTGGGTCAGTTGTGAGATAATAACTTACTGATGACAATAGTGGGTGTGTCGCTCAATTTGGTGGATTAGTTAAAGTTAGACATTAACACCGTCGGATGCCGACCGACTCAGTGGTCTAACGGTTAAGTGCTTGCGCGTGAGACAATGGGTCCTGGGTTCGAACCCCGCGAAGGGGGGGTCGTGGATGTGCACTGCCGAGCGGTCCCACAGTAAGGCGAAATGGTCATCTAAAGCTTCCAAGCTTTCCATGGTTGTCTAGCTTCAATTGACTCATAATCTCAACAATTGAAATAAAAATATCTTTTCAAAATTATATATTTGAAAATTTGTATTCATGAATTTCATGGAGCTGGATCGTAAGGGCGCACTATTGAGCAGTCGCACAACTGGACCAAACAATCGTCCAGTGCTTTCAAGTTTTCTATAGCGATCTAACTTTAATTGACTTATGAATTAAACTATTAAAATTACTAAATTCTTCACAAAACTCCTTTCTGAGAATATATTATATTTCAAAGTTCGAATTTCAGACTCATTATAATTCACATTTGTAGTTATTTTTAATAGTTGAATTCATGATTCAATTGAAACTAGACCATCAGGAAAAACCTAGGAAGCACTGAATAGTCTTTTCGTTCTAGTTTGGGACTCTTCAACAGTAGTGCACGGGATTCGGACCCTTGACTTATCTGTCTCGCACATGTGCACCGTATAGTCGAGAGGTATGTGTTCTAGACGGATTGAGTCGATTATAGGTATGCTCAGAGATGTATTGATGTTGTTATAAAAATGTTTAATACTTCAGTTAGTTGACGTTCGGTTTTTTCATTGAGGTCTTTACATGACCCAAACTTTTGGAATTTAGTTAGATCACTTAGTAGAGAATTCATCTTACCTATGTAATCTATCTTGCTCAAAATTACGGTACCTGATCCATTATCAGGTTTAGTGATAAGAATGTGTTCATTTAATTTTAATTTTCGGATAATCTCACGATGTTTATCAGTCAATATACTATGTGTGCTCATGTGGAGCTAATTACAGAAACCGTACTCTGAGGGCTTTATTCTTGCATGTTCATGAATATTTTTCAGCATGCTTAGGAAAAGGAGTCACTAAATCGATCAACAGCACTATTCTTTCTCACTTGGTAGATAATGAACATTATATCAAAATAGACGAAACTTTCTCTGTTTTATATCTATCTTAAGAATCTAGATCACTGTTAATTTACATAGTTTAAGCGATCTGGATCAACACCAGAAAACCAAACTTATGTATCCAGCCTCTAGATTTACCTTGGCCTACGACTGGTTCACCGGATACCTAAACTGAATATTATAAACCTCGTACCACCTTCTCATTTATTATTTTTTTTCGGATTACATCTATCCCAATTCAAATGATCTCTTTATGGTAATTACCCTTGATAACACCCCTCTTATTACATATCATATTCACACAACAATATTATTATTATTATCATTATCTCAATGGACAAGATGAAATTCTTCTACTATACATTTTATTCACACAATTTTGTTTTTACATTTTCACTTTTACTATATTACTATTAACCCTTTTGATATGAATCAACATATACTCATTCGTGATTAGTTTTAAGTAATATTTCCTAGAGTTCTAGTAAGAATCAATGACCAATGAAATTCCATTGAATTTGTTATAAGAGAATAATTCATGAAAAATATTATTGAAGATATATCGTTCCATTTTGTAGATTAGTTAAAGTTAAACATTAACATTGTTAAATACCGGTCTAATTCGTAAAACTAATAAAATCCTGGGTTTAAATCTCATGATATGTAACGGGTATGATCATGATTGTGCACTTCTGAAGAGTTTCACAATATAACGAAACAATCTACTTCAATTTTTCATGATGATCTAATTTCAATAAACATATGATCTTAATTATTCTATCATAAAATATTCACTTTGATTATTAGAATTTTCAATTCCATTGATCACATACTAATTGTTTTATTCATATAAATAAAGAATGAATTTACTACTGTCAATCAATTACCTATGATAGATACATTTCATTATGTATTATTTATTATATAATATATAATGATATATTACATTAATTTCTTTTAAACTACTCTATTTTATTATTATTGTTGTTGCTATGTAAATGAAAACAAACGATTGACGACTTAATTACTCTTTATTTTCTCTTCTTTACTCTTCGCTTTTCTTTCTTTCTTTCTTTCTCTCTTTTTTTTGTCTTTTTTTCAAGTGTTCTTTTTTCTATTTATTATTATTTATGTATATTACACTTATGTCGGTAATTATGAATTCCAATGATCAAACAAAGGAGGTTATAAGTTTTATTGTTTAAATGTAAAGATGGAAGTGTAATGAACAATTAATGATTTGATTTGACAATGACTGATATATATATATATATATATATATATATATATATATATATATATATATATATATGAGTAATGAAGTAAGGTATGTAACCAATATGAATAACTAATAGCATACGGAGTTGAATGATTGAATATATGAGAAATATGTTGTTGTGAAGTTGTTTTGTTCTTTATGATCTGTGTACTTGACAGGAATCAATTATTAAAAAAAGTAAATGTTTAACACTAGTTTTATTTGTAGTTAGCAACTAAGTAAAATGTATATTTATAGAATTCAAAATAATTTTTCTATCAACTAATATCAAAGTCAAAATCGTCATTAAAAACGTCAAGACAGTTTTAATGTACGGAGCTGAAACTTGGAGAATTACTATAATCATCATCAAGAAGAAACAAGATACTCAATATCCATTGGTCAGATACTATCAGAAATAGTCTACTATGGGAAAGAACAAACCAGTTTCCAGCTGAACAAAAAATTAAGACAAACCGATGGAATAGAACATACATTACGAAAATCACTAATTTGCATCACAAAACAAGCCCTAACTTGAAATCCTGAAGGGAAGCTGTGAATAGGAAGTCCAAAGAGCATACTATGTCGAGAAATAAAAGCGGATATCAAAAGGATGAACAACAACTGGAAACAAGTAGAAAGCATTGTCCGTAATAGAGTTCTATGCAGAACGCTGGTGTGCAACGCATGTTCCTCCACTAAAGGGAACAGTTGGAACTATGTTATGCTCAGAACACGTCTATAGAAGTATCGAATCGTTCATTACAAGTGTGATTTACATTTTGAAACAACTATATACATATTTAGTTTAGTCTCATTCTCTGAACTAAATAATGCTATTGAGGTGCTTGAGTTTTGTTAATATGATATTAAATATGTAATAAGTGATCTGAGATGGGATTCAGTCATAAACTATTATTAAATGAATTACACATTTCACTTACCAAGCTCATTATCTTCAAAACCAAGACTATCACCAAGTATTTCATTAATTCTATGAATTCCTTCAATTTCAACATCTACAATCTATACATATATGTATACATATATATATATATATATATATATATATATATATATATATATATATATATATATATATATATATATATATGTATACATATATAAAGAAAAAAATACATCAAATAATGAGTGATATAATAATTTCAATAAAGTAATTCAAATTTTTTTAGAAAATGACATCGTCCACTTGCATAACCTTCCTTTATCCTTCCGGTCTTAAATTTTGGTGCGAAATTCATTCACTCATTTGGCTACATAGAATCTGGGCATCATAGCTAATATCAGTTCGTGATGTAAATCATGAATCAAATGCCTAACCCTAATCATCAAATGTAAATCATAATCTTTATTATTCACACAAGTTTATAAACTTCATTTAGTCCAAGTAAGTAGGTGGACATTCTCAAGGTCACTTTAGCGTCACTCAGCTTGCTTACGCCTGTTACTCCTCATGAAGGAGTATAGGCCGCTCACCAGCATTCTCCATCCAACCTTGTCCTGGGCGATCCTTTCCAGATCTTTCCAGTTGTTATTCATCCTTTTCATAACTGCTTCTATTTCCCAACGTTATGTGTTGTTTGGCCTTCCTCTTTCCCTCTTCCCTTCACGATTTCAAGTTAGCACTTGCTTGATGATTTACACAATGTGTGTTCTATCCATTTTCATCGTCTTTTCCTAATTTCCTGTTCCGTTGGAAGCTGGTTTGTTCTCTCCTACAGAAGGCTGTTGCTGATGGTACCCGGCCAATGGATATTGAGTATCTTGCGTAGACAACTCCGTACAGCGGAACTGCATTGACGTTGGTATTGATGATTGTGACTTTGATAATGGTTGAAGGTTGCTTAGCGTTCCATATGTTCTTCAACTGAAGGAATGAGACTCTTGCTTTGCCAATCCTCGCCTTTACGTCTGCATCTGAACCTCCTTGTTCATCGATGATGATTCCCAGGTATGTGAAGCATTCTACATCTTCCAGAGTTTCGCCATCAAGAGTGACTGGATTGCTGTTTCCCGTATTGTATTTGAGGACCTTGGTTTTCCCCTTGTGTATGTTGAGGCCTACTGATGCAGAGACTGTTGCTATGCTGGCTGTCTTCATCTGCATTTGTTCGTGTGTATGCGATGGAAGTGCTAGATTATCTGCAAAGCCCAAATCGTCTAATTTATTCTGAGCTGTCCATTGTATACCGTCACTCAAAGGTCGTCCTTAAATCATAGTCTCACCGAAATTAGATTTAGGGTTTTCATTCACGAACTGATATCATCTATAATGCCAAAACTTTATTTATCCAAATGAATCAATGAATTTCGTGCCAAAATTCAAAAGCTGTTATCTTATACATGATTGATTCGTTCATAAGTTATAGTCTCGCCTAATTTTCTATTAGAATCATTCCATAAAGGATATAATGATATAGAGTTATCAATTGAAAACATATTACGGAATCAAATCAACGTAACGAGTTAAGCATTGAGCAATATATGAATAAATAAATGTTAATCACTATACATTATATTAGAAGTTGTTTCAAGTCTAAATATTGAACTGATAAGAAAAAAGTATACATTTAACCTTTATTAAATCACTCTGTGACTGATACTGTTTAGAATTCCATATGTTTATCAAAGGATGAGTACACTGAACAACTATTATCATTATATGATTTAACTATTGTGAAACATAATATTTGTAGACAGAAGATAGGGATACATCTATATTATTAAAGTGGTATTTCAAAGATATTTTACATTTATGGTTGGAATTTTGGAGATGAACTCACAGTACAGAAATATAGTTAGTGAATTGGTTGATGAGACTATACTATGTGGCAGTTCGATCTGTATTAATTTACGGCTGCGAAACGTTACCATTAAGAGTTAAAGATATTCGTAAGCTACTAGAGTTTGACCACAAATGCCTTAGAAATATTGCTCTCATCTGCTGCGATCACCTATCAAGTATTAGGGAGGTTAGACGCAGGTTATGATGGTAAATCAGTTCATAAGGTTGTGAATATTCATCGACTGAGAAGGTTGGGTCGCGTGCTGCGTGTGCCTGAACACCGATTACCACGACGAGCAATGCTGATTAGTGTTAGAGACGGTTGGAAGAAAGTTAGTGGAGGCCAAACCGAAAAGTCGCATCAGTACTTGTAGTCACTAATTTCTAGTCTGTGTCATCTTAGTAGATGCAGACTACTTGTTTGGGGTCCATGTGACTATCGTAACCAATAGTTGGTGACTCTGAGTGACATGGCTCAGAATCGATCTGTAGGGGTATTCAGAAAAATACCCCAGAAATTGTCTAGTGCTATTCTTGAATGAGAAGTAGTGTCATTTCCCCATTGGTCAACATTCTTCCAACATGTCATCTCCTTATTGGTCAATATTTATTTGTGTCATTTCCTGAAGGTCAAATCTTGTACAAATGTTACTTTCTATTTTATGGTACGATGTAGTCTGTTTGTTTGGTATCTAAACAGAGTATGTCTGAAATATAATGATTCCTATCACTGAGGCTGAGACTTGCGTTCTGGACTCAACTGGCTGGGCTAGACAGGGAAGCGGGACCAATCAGAACTCTAGGCTGTTCTTACGTGTTATACGCGTCTTTGGTCCGATTAATAATTCTCTCTCTCTCCTCAAATCGCACATCTCTCACAGTTATAACACGATCAGAATGGCGAAGGTGTATACACTCTCTGTCTTCCCTTAAACTATTAGATTAAAATCGTTTCATATCTTTCTACGTACTAATTCTCTCTTCCTGTACTATATCCCTATATACAATTTTTCTTTTGTATATTACCACCATTGAATTAACTACTTCTATGAATTTGGTGTTCATCTTGCTGTGCTAATAAATGAGGTACGGCAACTTAGACCGATGCCTTTATGTGCCTGGTCCTATGTTGTAGATGACTGACTGACTGAACCTTTGTCAACTAAGGTAGTTTAGAAATATAAATACACCAAAATATCCATCACACAATCTCATCTAACTGGATAACATAAAATTAGGATATAAAATAATAAAACATGATATTAATTGATTGGTAACATAATATTCACTCTGTATTTGGTCAATCTCTTTAGGCATTCTTAATGTATAAAGTGTAATAAGTTCAATTAATGAGACCGAGTTAGTTTCTTATATCAATTGGTTAAAGCAAGGAGGATTAGTCAGACATGAGATTGTTCACTAACTAATGATCATTTAAATGTAAATCTTTTGAACATATAGGTCTAACACAATACAAATAGTTCAATGGTAACGTCTCAAAATGTAAATTTGTACGACTTGGGTTCCGGAATCTGTTTATTAAAGATTATAGGTAAACCTTACGGATTAATTCTATTTATCATGAAATTTAGGTTCATAGTTTCCAATCATTTAGAACAGTAGCCACATTGCAATCAACGATGAAGGACTAGACATATGTGATATTAGTTACTACTCAGAGTTCAATCAATTGTTAGAGATGAAAAAATTAAAATAATGAAGATATTATTGGTTTATCATTAAAATCAGAGATGGATGGTGGCTAGCAGTGGAATCCAGAACGCACCTTTCGTTCAACCCTAGACCCATCAGCTGAATGTACCTGGATTCTAACGTTGATGTTCCATCCTGGACGAGAGCATAGTACCACATGCTTTAAACGACGTCATGTTATCCAATAAGCTACTGAGGCAAGATAGCCACTAGCATGCGCAATGGAGTGAATTTTTAATTCATCTTGTATTGAATGATTGAATATTCCCATAGATGTGAAGGCACGAATCGGAAAAGCAAGAGCAGGATATCTCAAACTAAAGAACATCTGGAACTCAAAATAACTGTCAACCAACATCAAAGTCAGAATTTTCAATACAAATGTCAAAACAGTTCTAGTGTATGGGGCGGGAGCTTGGAGAACTACGAAAGCCATCATTCAGAAGATAAAAGTGTTTATTAACAGTTGTTCACGCAAAATACTTCGAATCCGATGGCCAGAGACTATTAGCAACAACCTACTATGGGAGAAAACAAACCAGATCTCAGCGGAGGAAGAAATCAGGAAGAAGCGCTGGGAGTGGGTAGGACAGATATTGAGGAAAGCACCTAACTGCGTGTGTCACAATGTAAGCCCTTACATGGAATCCTCAATGCTGAAGGAAAAGAGGAAGACCAAAGAACACATTACGCCGGGAAATGGAGATAAGTATGAGAAAAATGAACAACAATTGGATAGAACTAGAAAGGAAGACCCAGAACATAGTGAGTTGGATAACGCTGGTTGTCGGCCTATGCTCCATTGGGAGTAACAAGCATAAGTAAGTAATAGATGTTGAGAATAGTATTTGAACCGAACTTTTCTAGGTTCACATCCTGAAACAAACATTCACTCTAAGATATAGATATATCCAACATATTAGTCCCAAATAAAACAAAACACACACATCATGAATTCCCTTTCTAGGCACCATCTATCTTTACTTATAATAACAATGACTTAAGTCAATATTAAAGCAATTTGCATAACATACACATAACAACTGATTCACTACAATTTTAAATATCAATAAAAAGATTCATATAATCAATATAAAATAAATGATCATGTTCATTGATTTTATATAATCACTTATTGATTAACATTTATTGTTACTATGATAACAGTAAAATATTTTAAATTATAAAAAAAAAACTTTTTTGGCAAATTATTTTTGGAGAGAAAAATAATCATATTAACATGTGATATATATTACGTCACATAGATACTATTTCATTACTCTATAATTACCTTATACAGTGAACATTATTATTCACTATATGGTAAGTGAATTAAGTGAATTTTTATTATATTTACAGCTTAGATTCTTAAAATATGCCTAGTATCACTTCAGCAGTTGAATGTTAAAAACCTCCCAAGTTGTAAATGAAAAGACAAAAGACAAATGAAAAGAATCCTATTCTGAAATGGTATCAATTGTGGTACCAAACTATCAGGTATTTATAG